GTTCAGCCGTTTAAGCGTAAAGAAGTAACAAACATACACACACACTCACAAACTTTCGCAATTATAATATTAAGTAGGATTTTTTAGTACGATTTATCAATTAGTTTTTGTGGTCATGTGCACTTAATAAACAAATTTATATTTTTTATATATTTTTATAAACAATTAATCGTTTATCGGTACTTTCCAACCCCGCAATTTAACTTTTAAAGTCGAGATCTATTAATCTTAATTAATAGTACAACTCAAATATACATAATAACTTTGTTTACATTGCTTTTTATGTGCAGTAAATAAAAAAAAATTCAATCTTCTATCTACTATCTATCTACTATACATATATATAAAAATGGATTGCTGTTCCTTAGTCTCGCTAAAACTCGAGAACGGCTGAACCGATTTGGCTAATTTTAGTCTTGAAATACTCCTGGAAGTCCAGGGAAGGTTTAAAAGGTGAGAAAAATTGGAACAATTGCCGGGAAAACCCTAAAAACAGCTCTTTTCATTTCCCATACAAACGTTTTTTTTGACATTAGATTTGACAACTAACTAATATGTCAATCATTCTGTTTGATTGAAACAGGCAAAACCTGATTATTTATGGCCTCTAAGACGGAATAGAGTTCGCCTGGTCAGCTATACCTACATATATTACTCTTGACCAAACTAACGCGGACGAAGTCGCGGGCAAAAACTAGTAAGTAATAAAAACACGCGTTCCCCTTTTGCGCGGTATTATCTAAATATTGTTTATCTCCTCTTACCAGCGCACGCATGCGCAATATCGTCTCTAAACATATTTTCAGTGCCGCGTCGTGTCTAATCATACACACATAAAAGTTTATAATTAAACATTAATATCGAAGTTTCAACATAAGAACAAATATTTTAAATACAATTTATTATTGAATTTTTTGTAAAATAAGTGTAAGTGTTTTATTTCATAATGATTATTATAATAATAATAATTCTTAAATCATTCTAACCTAACTTCCATGTAAATTATGCATTAGAATTTTGAAATAAATAAGTGGCAGTATAGATGGAATTGGAATAATATTTATAATTTCTAAGTTTCAGTATATTTTCTAATATAAAAAGTTTATTTTTTAGTGAAACATATAATAGAAAAAACATTATGCAGTGGTTTATTTTATTGAACAGAAGTTCTACCGAACTCCGAAGTAACAGGGTGCAAATGGTCATCTTCAATGGTTGAAAATTTTTATTTTATTATGAAGTAAAACTTGTGCGATTGTGGTATGTAATTACCTATAATATAATTTTTATGTCATTTAATTTAACTATCTAAGTGTAACTTCATGTTCAAAATGTGTTTGATTATTTATTAAATAAAGTTTTTCTTGAAGTTACTTTATCGACAAAAAATACAATAGCCAATTGATTTTTTCAATTATTGTTAAAATAGTTTTTAAATTCATAAATAATAAATAAACTTCTTTTTATAACTTGTTAATGTCACGAATAATTATTGTGGTTATTTCTATTTATTTAGATATATTGAATCAAGCTAGAAATCTGTTGAGGACTCAGCTCAGCTTCAGAAGGAAGCTTCAAAATTCTCTCATTTAGGATGATGACATTAGAAATGGTAAAAAACCAGGTAAAAAGCATTTAAATTTGTGTATGTACTTTGATTTAAAAAATATTTTATGCTACATAACATTCTGGTCAAACTTTACAGCGACTGAGCCAAAGATTAATAAGAAAATTCTAGAAACTACTCCGATGATTCCATCAACAAAGATTATCCTAATAATAATGATCATGATAACATAATAGACAATAACAACCACTTTCATATTATCAAGTGTACTAATATTTGCTAAAAAATTGTTTATTTGATGTCAAATATAATAAATACTTAAGTTTCCTTTAAATTTATATATTTCATTGGTTTCAGATAAGTTGGATTCATGTTTAAGACTTCTCGGTATGCCGATGGTGGAGATCTAAGATTTAAAACAACAAACAGTTGCTAATAATGATTCTTATAATAGCTATACTGAAAATGAGTCAACACTAAAACATTATCTGCCTCTGAATTCTAGAGAAGTTTGTACTTTTAATGCCAAACTGCTTAAATTTAAGGAATATCATTGTAAATTTGTAAGTTAATATATATCATTAAACTATTTATTCTTTTGTTTATACTAAGTTGATATATTAGTGATTAATTCGGGTTTTGACAATATGTAATAAGTTGAAAAGCTAAAGAAAACGAAAGATTTTTATATTGATTATGGTAGGAGATAATGGTATTAGGAGCATATTGAAAGAGTCCTCAACATGATTTTCTCAACAACATTTGCAGATAATCATTCTTGGGAAGGGAAAAAAACTAAATTCAAGCTTAGTAATTTGAAATTGATCAAAACTTGCAAAGGTGAGAGACTCTAAATGAATAGAGAAAATCAACATAAATAAAAAAATATATATTTATTTGACAATAACTTTTCAGAGGTAATATTAAAAAAAAATCCTTCGTTGGATAGATTCGAATTTGCCAAAACTGGAATAAATTGGCTCCAATTAGGAAACCAAAGGTTAGGTGCAAAAACAAAAGAAGCTTGAAGATGTATTTATGTGTATATATGAGTATTTAATTACAAGAAATTTTCTTTTAAATTTTTTTATTTACAAAGCATTTTTAATATTATTGTTGATTGAAATATCTAATTAAAGCAATTGTTAATTTTTACTTCTAATTTCTAAAAAACAAATTAAAAAATTAAAATAAGTGTTGATTGAAACATCTGTTAATTTAATTTTTATTTTATTATCTTCTTTCACTTTTTAAATTGTAGTAATTTTGATAAAAAATAATATAAATGTTTCCGAATAAAAACAATAAGTCTGTAAATCGATAAAAATTCACATTATGTTTTGTACATACAAATTTTATTTACTGGAATCACATTCAAAAAGTGAATACTACATACAATGATACTCAAATGACTGATTAGAACTAATGTAATTATTTAATTTAGCTATAATTTCTTCACTTTTTGAATTTAAATAATACTAATAATAAATACTACTAATGTTTGTAATATTTATTATTTATAAAGATATGAATATATGGATGAAAAAATGCATGACATGTATAATATGAATTAAATGGTTAAACCAAAATTATTTATATTACTTAATATTTTTACTTTCCGAATTTTGATAATTCGAAATATATTTTTCTTATATTTATGTTTTTGTGGCTGCCAAATTTGAGTGTTATTAAATAATTTCCTATTTTAAATTAGACGTGTTTGATTGATCATTCCTCAAAAGATTTAATTTTTTTTATGTTTGAAAATCCATTTACTTAATTAATTATCTTTATAATAGAGTGATCTACATGTTATTTACAATACGCTGTAAATAATACTGTAGATTCTAAGAGTCCATTCTACCTAGTCATATACAGGGTGTTCTAAAAACTGTGTCCTTCCTTAAAGGCATGTAAACATGAGAATAAGCTTATTTTTAAAAATAGTATAAATTAGCATTCTCTTGACAGACAATAATAACTAAATTTCTAAATATTATTTGAACGATATACCCAGAAATAAAATAGTCTATTATAATATATTTCGCAATCAACTCTATTCTATGGCTTTTTAAAAGAAAAGTGTAAAAAAAGTAGTGCTTCTCGAATACTAAAACATACAAAGATTCACAGATTTTGCACACACGCTCGCACACACACACACACACACACACAGACACACGCACACACACACAATTGTTTCCTGTATATAACACGAGATTTTTTTATAGTCCTTGAAATTATTTGTATGGATAATATGCACTGAGTAGCTGTACTTACAAACACTGGCTGGGAAGCGGCGCTAGACTTTTTAAATGTCTGTGAACATTTATATTTCGTAATGTATGCTTAAAAGTATGTAAGAATGAATTAAACAATATAAGTTTAGTAGTTTTTCTTATTGCATCTAAGGAGGTACACATCTCTAGTATCCACAGACAGATGAAATGCTTTTATACATAATATTTTATTTATTATTATTCATAACATACTTCTTCACACGAGAATGCGGCATTCACACATAAATTAAGTTTTCTAAAGAAAAAACTTTAATCGTTTTGAAGTTATAACTGTGTCTAAAAAGAATTACACTATTTAACAATACTCGTAAAGATATAATATACTGTTTTTTGCCAGGGTATTGTGTAACTAGTGTCGCTATATGATAAGACGGATAAACTTCAGAGCTAGTTTCTGAAGACATCTACTTATCAACTGAGTTTATTATTTGGATAAAAAAAACCGATGGATATCATTCAATTATTTCGTATTTTTTTAAATAAAAAACAGAGCTTGTTTTGGCATAAACTACCCAGCAGACATCTTTCTACATTAAATAAAGTAAGGTAACCTCGTCTTTGAAGTACTTATTGGATATATGGTAATTACTGGTATATTGGAATGACAATTAAATTGCACCACAATCATAGTTTCCTTCACTAAACATTTCTTAACAATAAATATTATTTTCCTGATTTATGGTTTGATATGTATTTGTATAAGTCAGTCAGTCAGTGGTGGCCTAGTGGTTAAAAGGCTCGCCTCACTTGTAGGAGGGCGCGGGTTCGATCCTGGCCCGGGCAAGTACCAATGTGATTTTTCCAAATCATATGTACTTTCTAAAAGTATTTAGACATCACTGATTAATGTAGATTCCCAAAAGAGGGTTGATGTCAGGCAGGAGGCCGGTCGTAAAAACAAATAGCCAAAACTATTCACAACATGTAAGGTAGACCCTGGTTATGGCTGGGAAATTGCCAGGTATAAGGACTTGATTCTATTGTATCTTTCAGTAATATAAATATTTGTGTTTAAGTAATCACAAATAAAATCCCTCCCAATTACAAATTAGTTTTGTTTCAGGACATACCCCTTATCACTTTTTTTAATATCCTGATGTTTAAACTGAAAATAATTAAAAGCAAAATTATTTCTATAGCAGCATATTTTTCCTCTCATCACTCAAAGCTTCGTCGATATCAAATATATTAGTCTTAAAGAACGCTTCTATTTCTTGGAGCGTCCTTCCTTTAGTCTCAGGTAGTTTCAACTTTATAAATACTAGACTTGTTGTCATTATTATAGCGTTCAGTAAGAATGTTCCAGAATATCCAATGGCCTTCGTTAATATTGGAAACAATATGAGCCCTAACGATAAGAAGGTGGACAGCATTACTCCAACGAGGAAAATGCAGTAAACTTTTATTTCTAAAGGAAAAATCTCCCCCAACAAGGCCTCTAATACTGGAGAGGGACCCGCTTCTATTAAAATGAAGTACACTCCCAACAACGATACATTCACCCACCGCAGGTTCTCTACACCAGCTCCGAAGTAAAGACAAGCACTCAGAATGACCAAAACAGCATTGGCTGTATATCCTGTGGAAAATAACACAGTACGCATCGTCATTTTCCTCACCAGAACGCAGGATAAACTGGTGCCTACCAGGATAAAAATATCAACTAATATGTTTTGCAGAACAGTATTAGGAGTTCCAGTCATGTCTTCAAGAATATTTGTTGCTAAGATTGTGAACGCAGCTTTACCAGTCGCCGCGATATAAGCGGCTATAAAAAAACTCATCAAAATTAAATTCCAGAAGTACTTCTTCCTAAGTGCGAGACATAATTTTGCTTTACTTGTCCTCGTATTGGTGATTTCAGCTTGTGTCATTTTGCACTTTTCCATTTTTATTAAATATTGCAGTTCTGATTGGGATTTGACGCTGTTTCCATGGATTTTTTTGAAACTTTGCTCACATTCTTCGAACCTGCCTTTCGAGGCCAACCAATGAGGACTTTCGGCGCAAAAATAAGGCAAAATAATACCAAAAAGTGTTGGGAACATTGCTATTAAAGCAACAGTTCTCCAGTGGAAGATGTTGCCCAAGTAGTGACCCAATCCTGTGCCGATAGCTGGCGACACCGATGTTATTATATTGAGGAAGAAGGCTCTGGTTTTTGGAGAAGTGTATTCAGGTGTAATCATGATAATTAAACAGTATCTAGCTCCGAAAGCAATTCCAGCTATGACTCTTGATAACATAAAATGATATATATTTTGTGCCTTGTATAGAATAATCCATTGCACGGCTATTGCTACCGAAAAAATAATCAATGGCCATCGTCTTCCCATATTGTCAGTAAAAGTTGCCAAAGCGGAGCCGAGAAAGTTTGTCATTGTGATAGTAGATGCTGAAAGAAAATTATTTTAGGATATTTATTTAGAAAAACAATTTATGTAAAACAAAATTAGTTTGTATAGACTTGAAGTTAATATGTATTACAATTTCTTTTTTCGTCCTACAACAGACATACTTAAGTGAGGTAGTTACTATTATAATCGATTATATGAAAACTAAATGAAACTAATATTTTCATATATTTTTATTTTTGACCATAAACTACATACTCCCGACGTTTCGGTTACTTTACAGCAACCGTGATCATTAAGACGAGATAAAAAATCAATAAAAAATCGCGTAGTAAATCAGAAAATATTAGTTTCATTTAAATTAACCCTCGCGAAAATTCTATATGAAACCTAAATCTCTATTTTGAGAACATTTAACGATTACTTTTCACAAAACTGTTACTTACTTATCCACTGTATATCACTCTCAGTAAGATTCAAGCCGTCATCGTTTCTCTGCAGGGTTTTAATCATTCCTGTTGTTTGAGCGAACAGGAATCCATTTGAGACAGCTATAGAGCTGAGACTGCCCAGCATCAGCACCTGGAAGACAGGTTTAATACAACTGAATTATTGATAACAACTAATTGTTTCAATCATACATTCATTTAAAATGTAATTTGAAACATCATAAAGCTTCATTACTTCATTTACACTAACTTGTCTTAATGATAACTTATTTAATCAACGAAGATGAATCACTCAGCGAGATCAAACTTCTATAAGTTATTATCAATATCAAAGTATTGTTTATTACCTTATGAATTGTAAAACCCATCACAGTCACCAGTTTACTCATGAAAAGTTGCTAAAATTATGTGAAAATAAAAAAAAAATGCCATATTAAACATTTGTATAAATTAAGGTAGCTGCGAGTATTAGCGGACACTCGAACGGTAGACACTTAAAGAATGTTAGTACTTTAGCGTTCCAGAAATGGACTCTTGAAGTAAAATAACATTTTCTACATAATAACTTGATTTTTTGTTTCTGATTTCTTAAATACATGTTATATTTTTTCGTATTTCATATATATAATACTAAAATATATTATTACAAGTGTCGCATGGATACCATTACCCTACATGTGTGTGATATTAAATATAATGACCTTCACTAATTGATTGCTTTAACTAATTCAGGCTTCTTCTTTTATGACGTTGAAGTCTATTTTAATATTAACAAGAAAAGATATTACGCTAAGAAAATATAATTAATTAATTTAATTAACTTTATAATTATATTTGAATGTTAGTATAAATAAGGTCACAATTAACTTTATAAATGTTTATTATTATGTTACTAGTTTAAGTTTCCTGTGAAGTGAACTTTGTTCTTAATGGGAAATAAATCATCTGTAAACCTAAGTGAAACTCCTCATGCAACTTTCAACAAGGTTGCGTTAAACATTCAACGCTGGGGGGGACTGAGTGAGAGGGAATGCGTAGCGCTCGAACTCAAGCGCGTAGTGCGTACTATACCTGTTCCCTAATGTCTAATATTTTTTTGTAACTTCCAATAGTCCAATGCAACAGAGAGAGAGAAAGAAAGATACATAAATGTAGAAAGTGGGAGAGAATTTAGACGTGATAGAGCCTAGCTGTGGTCAGTTACTACAGCTCGAACATGATCTGGCTCGACCGTAAGTACCACCCTCTCATAAAAGATCGGCGTGAAGTAGTCTTCACGAGCTGGGTTTTGTTTGATGAGTGAGAGAGACGGTTGCCCTTTTCTTATTCGAACTCTTCCCTTTTCCTCAATAAGGTTGGCAACATCTTTTATGTTATAGATGTCCATTTGCGACGGTGACTACCTTTCATCAAGTAGGCCGTCTCCTCGTTTTCAACCTTTTTTTATGAAACCAGTGTGCTTTAGACCACATGACTGAAGTTAAAAGTTTTTTCGCTCCATCTATATGTAATATTTATTTATGTAAAAGTCAGTCAGTCAGTCTGTGGTGGCCTAGTGGTTAAAGGGCCCGCCTCTCGTTGCCGAGGGCACAGGTTCGATACTGGCAAGTACCGATGTGATTTTTCCGAGTCATATGTACTTTCTAAGAGTATTTAGACACCACTGACAGATGATGAAAGAAAACATCGTGAGGAAACCTGGACTTATAATTTCACAATTATAAGTTTGAAATCACCAACCCGACTTGAGCGAGCGTGGTGATTAATGCTCAAACCTGCTCCATGAGAGAAAGAGGCCTTTACTCAGCAGTGGGCTCTGATAGGCAAAAAAAAAATGTTTATATACAAATATGTACACATATTAATTTTGTATTAATATTTGAATTCATTAGCAGTTATCTTTAATAAATTAATACTTTTAAATAGATACATACTTCTTTCTATTTATCATTGGATACATCAGTAATTATTGTGTTTGATTGTAAGACCGAAACAATACACATGATATGATAAATAAAATACATATGTTTACGAATGAAGATTAAAAAGATATCTAAAGAAAGCTAAAAACAAACTACTGATAGAAAAAAATAACAACTTAACAGATCTTAATCATTTTAAAGAACTTTTGAGTCTCAGAGGGAATTGATAGATTTATAAAAAGCTAGCTGACCCGGCGAACTTCGTACCGCCTTATAATTAAGAAATATCTGTTACTTTTTTATCTGAATGAAGTTAATTTCTTTATAAGAATAACTGACCTAGACAATGTTCTGTCTTCTTAACTGTGATTATTGAATTATAATTGGTATATTAATAAAACAACATTATTACAAAAACAAAGTGTTTATTATTCTAATGCTTTATTCTAACTACGCCAACATATTAAGATGTGATTGACCTCAACTTCTCCAACCATAAGCCTGTATGAATAATAATAATTATTAGAACTAACTTTTTTGTTAGTTTCAGAACCTTAAAACATTTTTTGTGATAAAATTATACAAATTACTTAAGCTATGATAAACATTATAAACTTAACATGTTTTCTTGTAACTGGATTTATCATCTTCATTTAAAAATGATACCCATTACACCTTGCCAAAATAAGATAAAATATTGTAAAGCATCATATGTTTGATGTGTTTCGGACACATGCTGCAGTTGATTGTTACACCGATGTAAAACAATATTTCTGTTATATACATTTTCACCCACAATGACAATAGCGACTTCATCAATTGTTGAGGCATTAAAATTTCTTATGTGTTTGAAAACAATTTTGTGATTATCAGATTTCATGTGATCTAATTTATTTATTTAATATGGAACTGCAACACAGGTACATAATATGTAATACAAAAAATACAAGTTAGACAATAAAATTTTAAATGTATTGTCAATTATAGGAGAACACAACATGCACTTATAACAAGAGAACAAAACCTAAGAAATAAAAATAAAAAAACTAAAACTAATAATTACAAAACAATGAAATAAAATAATTTATCGAAAACTATTTAACAAATCTAAACTAAACCAAATGAAAATAAGTTCAGAAACAAATTTACTTTTGTATAAAAGGCATAACATTTCTTTTTGAAAGTGCTAAAAGTGTTGAAACCCATGTCGATACTTAGTATTGCATTATATAAGCGTGTCATTCGGGCGAATGGTAAATTTTTCCCAAGATTGGTTCTATTCTTACTAATTTTGAACATAGGTGGTCTCCGTGGCACGTCTATACTAAGTTTTTGAGCAAAATAAGCTAATGAGGTCTTGAATAATGCAACCAATGCATTGTGTTGATGGAAAAATAATTGGAACTGTTCCACAACTGGTCTTTTCACAGAATATTTGTGTGCACAACACTGATCGACTTGTTTTCCTGAGTCGCCCATGAAATAAATTTGCAAAAATTTCTAGTCATTCACTGGCACTGGTAATGAGGAAACTGACCGATGATTTATTTGTTCTTGAATCTGCAAAGGTAAACATTCCTGTATTACATATACATATTGTAAAGTAAATTGTTCAAACCACCAAGTGACACTCAAAATACTTTGTGAGCTACTACTACCATTTCCCTCATCAACTTTTTTAACACAATTCCTTCTAGCTACTTAAAGTTATTCACAGAGCTACAAATGTACTTTAAGCCATTACAAATGTTACACCATTACAATTGAAAACTGTCAACAATAGTAGTAAATGTTTTTCAATACTCTTACCTTAAAAGTTGGCATAAAATTTATTGTAGGTACTGTAGTCCATTTTTTTGTTATAATTAAATGCAGCTCTATAGGTGTTAAAAGCAACACTTCTATATTGTTGGTTTCGGTTCCATCGATTCCGTTCAACTTTATTCCGCGTTTCACGTTGCTCATCAGTTAGACTTGCTCTTCTATATCTTTGACTTGAGGCATTACGGGTTCTGCGACTTAAGTTTGTACGTCTAATTGCCGGCATTTCTTGAAACAAAAATTCAACTGAAAATAAAAAATACTATTCTTATTCTATTCCTATTCTTTAGTAATAGTATTAAAATGGTCTATCAAAACTTTCCAACACTATAATAATTTGAATTAACTTGTTGAACAAACACTTCAGAAAAAACACAAGATACAAATTGTCCTGTAGAAACCAATGTGAAAATTACACTAAGAAATGGTACCTATATGAATTATGTAAGAATTTGTTATTATAACTCCGGCCACAAATAGTAAAACTGAATATGTACACGTACAAAGCTACACAAAACAAACAAATTTACTTTTTGCAAACAATTTGAAGGAATAACTGAAGTTTTAAGACAGAGACAATAGTTTATCATAGACTAATATAGTCACACAAATGACACTTACGTTTTCGTTGAAGTATAAAATAAATCTAAGAAATTGTTTAATAGAATATAATCTTTAATTTACACAAAATAAATTAATGAACACACGGGTAAACGTTAATCATTTATTATTATCTCTGAACTCATGTCAACCATTACTTATAGTATTTGACAGGAATGACAACAAATGTTTGACAAATGACAGGTACAACCCGGTTCGATCGATCCTGGGAACCTGGGTTCGATCCTTTACATGTTTTCGTCGAGTTTTCTTTAAGTTTTCTTTTTTAAGATTTATTCTGCTATTCGGGGCGGAGACAAATCCAACGAACCAAAACCCATGAAAATTGGTCTAGCCGATCTCGAGTTATGTGTTGTAATAAACACGACTTTCTTTTATCCCTACTAATATTATAAATGCGAAAGTAGCTCTGTCTGTCTGTCTGTTACGCTTTCACGCCTAAACCACTGAACTGATTTTAATGAAATTTGGTACAGAGATAGAGTTGACCTTGAGAAAGAACATAGGATAGTTTTTATCCCAGACTTTTGAAAGGTTCTCTTGGAAACGCGATATGACCGAACTCCACGTGGGCGAAGCTGCGGGCGGAAAGTTAGATTATAAATACATACAAAAATATCCTACACTGTATATTTTATAATTAATAATAATTGTGAATAACATTACATTTATTTATATTTTTTTCTTTTATTCTTTTTCCTTTCAATAAATGCTATATAATTTTATCTTTTATATTTGAAGACAAGTTAAACCTCAGTCTTTGATTTATATATACTAAATTAGAAGAAATCGATGTATTATTCAGTAATAAACTAAAAAAATAGTATAAGAACTTTCGAATTAATTTACAAATACACATATTGTTCCAATAACTAAAAACGATTTTAGGGAAAACGGATTTTGTGGGCTCAAAATATAAATTCCTCGTTTACCTTCAAAGGCTTTCATATTGTAGACATGCTTTTGAGATAATTTGATTGTTTTATATAGAACATAATATATTTATAGTGAAACCAAATACAATGGGAAATGGGACACAGATCTTCGCAACATAAAATTTGTAAACTAAATGAAAATAATACTTAACGAAGTAATTACATAAATAATAATAAAATTTATGAGGATTATTGTAAAGTGAAGTTATCTCATCGAATAAAAGTAGTCAAACATGGATATACTTTCGTAAAACATAGTGTAAGATTCATTTTCCATTTATCTATAGATATACTAAGGCTTATCTATAGATATACTTACTAAATGGTTAAAACATAATATTTAATTTTTAATCATTAATAACACCATAAGTACTCACGAGAATACGGCCTTCAACAGGGATTACTCAAAAATATTCTTAGCTTTTTTTCAAGTAATAATTAAAGAATAAATAGTATAACTATTTAGTATCGTTATTTGTCAGGATTTAGTCAGAGTCAGTGGTGGCTCAATGGTTAAAAGGCCCGTCTCTCGTCGCCGAGGGCGCGGGTTCGATCCAGGCCCGGGCAAGTAGCAATGTGATTATTCCGAATCATATTATGTACTTTCTAAGAGTATTTAGACATCACTGATTAATGCATTCCCAAAGAGGGTTGATGTCAGACAGGCGGCCGGTCGTAAAAACATATAGCCAAAAAAAACTATTCACAACATGTAAGGCAGACCCTGGCTATAGCTGGGAAATTGCCAGGTAGAAGAAGATTTACCAGGGTCTAGTCACATTAGGTATGACGCCAGATGATAAGACAAACTACACTAGATGTTTATCGGAAGACGTGATGGTCCAATTTAAGAACTTAGGGGGCGAGTTGCAGTTGCATAGAGACTGGTCAATACCGATATGTTAGACTCACTTTTGAAGACATCTACATATCAACTTAGTTTATTGTTTGATTGAGAAAAAGGGTCGAAATCATTCACTTATTTCGTATTTTTTCTTCATATAAAAATCATAACATGTATAGATACATATCTTTCTAGTTCAATAAAGGTACCTCATTGTCTCTGAAATATATGATATATGGTAATTACTGGTATATTGGAGTGACAATTAAATTGCACCACAATCATAGTTTTCTTCATTAAACATATTACAATAAATATTGTTTTATAAGTCTAGGTTTTTTTTTCTATTAAGTATACTTTTTTCTTATTAATAATTCTTATTAAATAAGTAAAATATACTCTGTATATAAAATATACAATTATTTATAATTTAATTCAATTAGAAATCTCTAAGTGAGGTTTTTATAACGGGTTTTCAAATATCTCCTTTCCGCTTTTTAGTTATTTATTCAATGCTTTATAAAAAGTGTTTCAGTGATCAGATTTAGTTGAAATATGCGCCTTTTGTTCTTTATACTATTTTCAGTTAGACAGCGACTTCATAATACTGTTATTTCGAAGCCACCTTCTCGACAGCAACTTTTAGGAAGCCTCTTTTGGGTTTAACTCCAGGCTATGGATGTACTTGATAAAACCTACCATCCGAGCCTTAGCTTCTGACTAGTCATCAACGAAGTATGGTCTGGCATTGTTCTAGATGTCCTACACTCTTCCTGCTGGCAAATCCTGGCGGAATCTGGTCATTCGCCTGCTTCAAACGGTCCAGTCGTTCGCAAGAGATAGTAGAATTAAGCGTCTAGCCATATGGGAAAAGCTCATAATTGAGGATGCCCTTCCAATCTCACCAAACACAGTAAAACCTTCCTGGCTGTCAATCCCGGCTTGGCCACTGTTTATGACGATTGACCGGCCTTCAACCACGATAATTTTTGCTAGATTTCTATAATTTTTATACAATTTTAAATATTATGCAGAAAATTGTGTAACAATAAAAGACAATTATATGGTATTTTATTTGATTTACATGGTAGTAAGGTAAATGAGTCTATTTTTACTACATTTGACTTATTTTGTGTTTAATTAGAATGTTAAAAATACAAATGTAGTATGTATCGTGAAAATATATATTTTCTATTTCTGAAATAAATTTTATCAAAGTCATTTATACATACAATAGCATCTATTATATGAATAAATTAAACGTGTTAACTTTTGAAGTGATAACTTCTTATTTGAGTGTAAACCATTTCGTAACGTAACGTAACGCGTTACGCCACTGAGTCTTGTTTCTCTTTCTCTCACGTATACAGCACCAGTAATACACACATGCGGCAAAAGTGTTTCGACTAATTTTCAATTTATACATACATATATTATCAATTTAATGTATATAAAATTTAAGTAACCCAAACTATATAAGTTACACAATATCTATATTCAATATACAAGTTATCACTTCTTTCGAGCGTCCTGAGTCACAATAAGTTCTATATATTGGTCGCTAATACTCACAGTTACCTTAAACACCAAGTTATGTATGTAGCTGTATTATATTTCGTTCTCTATACGTATGTAAGTTTTCAAGTTAATAGACGATAGTAATGGGGGCGACTATTCATAAGGTAATGTTAAAAATAACTAAATTTTAACTAATAATATTCTTATTTCTATAAATGTGCTTCTATCCCTTTTTGTTTTTTAAATATCTTTAAAAGATAAATCTGAATTCTCTTAAATATAAAAGAAAGTCGTGTTAGCTACAATATTTATAACTCAAGAACGGCTGTACGGATTTGGCTGGAAATTGGTGTTGAGCTATCTTAGGACAAGAGAAAGGACATAGGATACTTTTGAATTCATTTGAATTAAAAAAAACTGCTTTAAAATCCAAAATCTGTTTATTTACTGCCTCTAAATCGAAACCGTTTGCCTGGTCAGCTGTACAGTTCTAATTATGCGACTAACACGGACAAAGTCGCAGGCCAAAAACTAGTATAAATAAATACCTGGATTTTAAGTTTTGCAGTGCATGACTTCTTTTAAATTGTATTCTAGGTACTGATGCTGAGCAGTCTTGGCTCCATAGCATTCTCGAATGGATTTATCTTTGCTCAAGTAACAGGAATGATAAAATCACTACAGGAGAATGAAGATGGACTAAATCTTACCGAGAGCAACATAGTGTGGATAAGTCAGTATTAGTATTGTGATAATGTAGATAATAATTCAAAAATTTACCTTGGCATTAAAGAAATATGTAACTGGTTGAAAAACTTTGGAATTTAAATTAAACCAATAAAAACATTACTTTTATACAAATTCTTTTAATAAATTATAGGATAATTACAAACATAAAATAAAATACAAGCCAAAACGCAAAAACTTGAAGTAATTGAGGGTTTTTTTTGTCAGAGTTTTTGTCCAAAACTAAGATAATATTTATTTCTTCCAGCATCCGGTTTGTCGTGGAGCAACTTTCTTGGCTTCGGATTGGCAATGTTAAGTGACAAGATCGGAAGACGATGGCCATTGATTATATCTTCAGTAGCAATAGTTGTGCAATGGATTATTTTATACAAGGCACAGAATATATATCACTTTTTGCTGTCAAGATTCATTGCTGGTGTTGCTATTGGAGCAAGATACTGTTTAAATATACTAATTACAGCTGAATACACTTCTCCAAAAACCAGAGCCTTCTTCCTCAATATAATAACATCGGTGTCTCCAGCTATCGGCACAGGATTGGGTCACTACTTGGGCAATATCTTCCACTGGAGAACTGTTGCTTTAATATCGATTTTCCCAGCACTTGTGGGTATTATTGTGCCTTATTTTTGTGTTGAAAGCCCTCATTGGTTGGCCTCGAAAGGCAGGTTCCAAGAATGTGAGGAAAGTTTCAAAAAAATCCACGGAAACAGCTTAAAATCAGAAACAGAACTGCAATATCTGATAAAAATTGAAAAATGCAAATTGAGACAAGCTGAAACCAGCAATACGAAAACCATAAATGCAAAATTATGGCTCGCATTAAGGAAGAAGTACTTCTGGAATTTAATTCTTCTGGGTGTCTTCATAACCTTGTATTTAGCTGCTTCGGGCAAGATCGCATTCACAATCTTAGCAACAAATATTCTTGAAGACATGACTGGAACTCCTAATATTGTTCTTTATACCATTCTAGTAGATAGTTTTATCCTGGTAGGCACCAGTTTATCTTGCATACTAGTGAGGAAACTGACGATGCGTAATGTGTTATTTTCCACAGGATATACAGCCAATGCTGTTTTGATTATTCTGAGTGCTTGCCTTTACTTCGGAGCTGGTGTAGAGAACCTGCGGTGGGTGAATGTATCGTTGTTGGGAGTGTACTTCATTTTAACAGAATCTGGTCCATCCCCTGTATTAGAGGCATTATTGGGAGAGATATTTCCTTTGGAAATAAAAGTGTACTGTATGTTCTTCCTTGGCATAATGCTATCTACCTTTTTAACATCGTCACTCATCCTGTTTCCAATAGTAACGAATGCCATCGGATATTATGGAATATTCTTACTCAATGCTGCTATAATGTCAACTAGTCTAGTATTAATCGGTTTAAAACTACCAGAGACTAAAGGAAGAACACTACAAGAAATAGAAGTGTATTTTAAAACTAACATATTTGATATCGACGAAGCATTGAATGATGAGAGGAAAAATATGTTGTTGTAAAGAATAAATTCTTCTTAGAATTTAAAGTACAATAAAAATTAGAAGATATTTTAAATATATATATTTATTAATCATTTGAAATTAATTAAGGCGATAACAGTTAAGCTTTGATTGGGAATATCTAGATGCTCGTCCAAATATAAGTGACTTTAGGAATTGTTCAAAGTAATTACGGTTTTTTAAACTAAGGAAAATTGAGTTACTCAAAGAATCCATTTTAATACTTCTACAACCTTGAATCTCATTGCTAAAGATGACGTATGGAGACAAACAGACAAAACGAATTACTCATTTACTACAATTATTGGCATTTGCAAATACAATCGCAGAAATACATTTTTGCTAATACTTTTCAACAAACAAAAGAAATCCATTAATTTTAATTATTAGACTCTTTGTGCTACAAATTAAGTTATTTTTGTTGTGTTCGTATTTATAGAATTAGGTCGATTTTAATATCAAATTTATAACAAAAATAATTTGTTTGTGAAGTACAATTTTTAATTCACTTAATTTATTTTATATGGGAGTGGACTACTTTGTTATTCTGCAGTTCTTTTAATAGTCCCTGAATATTCGAAAAGCTGGAAAGATGAGACAATTAATATTGATGATGGAAATGCAACAGAAAGGCATTAATTGGTTCCAACTACGGCATTTTTAGTGACTATCACCTGGTATTGTTTAGTTTAAGTTAACAGATTAAGCTACTAGCTCTTAATAGAATAATATATATTCGGTTTACAAACAGTATCATAAATGTTTTTTGATACAAATATTGATTTATTAAATTTGTAAAATAAAATTCGATAACAACCTTAAACTAGTAAAATAGTAAGAAAAATATGATCATATTAGATTAATAAAAAAATTTTTGGACACAAAGTTAATGGGTGTTTTATAAAATTAACATGGTTTTAAGAAGTGCTAACATAATATTATATTTTTATAACACGGCTGTCATTCATTAAAACGTGATAAATAAATAGGTAAAAAAACGCTTTTTCCATAATATCAAACTAAAGAGTGTTATATAATTTTCCATATAGGCAGAACATAGAGACCAAAAAATATTAATATTATTGTCAAATAGAGTATGGTGCTTTGTGGCATGTTTTTCGTGAAACGAACGCTTTCTAGTTACATTTATTAAAAGTGTATTTTTTAGTATTTTAACCTTTAATTATTTTTATATAATATAAATACTAACGTTTTTGCACACCCACTTTTAGCAATTACAAAAAAAGGCACAATGGATTTCTTAAATAAATATAGTTCATTTTTCATTCCGATCTATCTAATGAGAAATACTCACTGGTCACATAAATGAGAAGATAGAGGTCGTATGCCAATGCTATTGGTTGATGCAGTTTAGGAGATCAAAAGATTCCTGGTTAGAATCAAACTTCCGAGAAAGCTATGGTGGTAAGAGCTCCCCCCCATTATCATGACGTCACTACAAGAAAGAGAAAGAGAGAGAAAAAAAGAGATAGAACGAGAAGAGATGGAGACAGACAATGTCAATTAGTATCAAGATACTAGCTGCGTCCCGCGGTGCTACCCGCGGATTTACGGGATGTAAAGTAGCCTATGTGTTATTCCTGGACGTCAGCTTCCTATATACAAAATTTTATCAAAATCGGTTCAGCCGTTTGAGCGTGTAGAAGTAACAAACAAACACACACTCACAAACTTTCGCAATTATAATATTAGTACGATTCAAAAGTTATATGTTTCAGGGTAAAACCAGGATAGTTGGCTATTTTTTTTCTTAATATCGGTTTAAAAGATAACCTTATGCGGTATTATGGAATATTTTTTGTAATTATACATTAAATTGGATTTACATTATAATCACAATACATACTACAATTTAATGAGATGACTCAAAATACATATTTTCTTTTAACTCCCACGGTTTAGACAAGCCACGCCAAGATTGTACTTTTTGCAAAAAATATTTAATATAAATATCGTTACAGTCTGACCACATTACAAAAAATGTTATAAATTGAGGTCTTTATGTTATTCTGATGTATAAACAATGATATTGTAAAGTTTAATTCAAATATGTTTAGTAGATTTTTCGTGAATGAGGATCAAACATACATTCATACTCATCAACTTTTTACATCCAGCTTCACACAGTAACCATTCCACCATTTTAACACTTCCAAGAAGCATATTAATTAGGCTGTAATTACATATAGCATTTCAAATTATGAAAAAAAAGTTTAAGCTTTTTAATTGTATTTTAAAGAGATCTAAATAAATCTTAACATTGTTAATAGCTTACGCCATTGGACGATAGATGGCGCTGTTATTAAAAAATATTAAATTCGTTCCTACTAACTAGGTACAAGAAAAATGTGTCTTACTTAATGTAAACAAAGAAAAGGAAAACTGAAATTATTTAAACATATCATAAATTAAAAAATATATATAATCTATGGTAAATTTCAATCAGTATCTATTGTAGGTATCTATGGTAAATTACAAATTTATAAATAATTTTGCAACTTTAATCAGTATCAGTATATCAATCTATGTAGAAATTTCTAATTACTCGTATGTAATACTAAGAGGAAACTTAATATTATATTACTTCGTAAAATCTCGTAGAACTTGATTAATTTTGACATATTATTTACTTTCTTTGATTTGACTTGACATATTATTATGCTTGCAAAACTAATCGAATATTGGGTTCATTTAATAATACAAATTATTTTAATTTATATTTATATAAATGAAATATAATATATATTTGGAACTGGCGTCTGGCAATATTTTTATCTACAACGTATAATGTAGTAACTTATACGTAATAGAATTTAACTGTCTAATTTCTAATTTGAGAAGCTTGTACGGTGGAGGTGATCGTTTAACGTTAGATAGGGTCCCTTAAACCTACACCTGGGTCACAAGTCCCAGTCACTGTTGAAGCTCCTCTCACTACAACGATGGACCCGACACACGCACCGTGAATACATTGAATGATGAGAGGTTTGGTTTCATAGTGTCAAGAATTTGATAGGAATTTCAATAAGAAATTGTTAGTTTGATAATTATTTGATCCTGAATTCTATATCTTAAACAGTTTATCATTTTGCAAATATTTGTATAACAAAAAATATTTTTCTGGAAATCGTTGTTTTTGAATAACTAAAAATGGTAAAATTGAATTCAAATGTTTCTTATGTATTAAAGTGTAGGATTGAATTCTTTTCTTCTTCCTGGCAATTTCCCAGCTTTAGCCAGGGTCTGCCTGTAGGATTGAATTATACTTTAATATTTTTGATATCAAAATTTAGAGAAAGCATAATTTTTTGCGCTGTCATTTCATTTTCATGTCATTTTCTTGAATTTATTTTGTTTCTATATATGGCTATGTCAAAAATCTCCAAGCATGGTCTTTAAAAGTCAAAACTTGTATATATATAAGTGATATAGTATCTAAGTTCTGTAATTCACTAAATTAACCACAATTTCAGTAGTAAACTTGAAAGACTAGACCAAAATTATTGTAATAAAAATTAAACAAAAAATTCATTTTGCATTCAAATATATTTTATCAAACTACTCAATCATTAGGAATTTTTTTTGTAAATTTTTTCAATGAATCTATTTAAATACTCTTTTCATTATTTTTTTTATGAAACTAAATATAAAATAATAGAAAAAAATAATTGAGTAATAATTTCATTTACTTTTCACATTCACACAATCCACGGTACGATAAGCAGTCGTTGTCTTACATATAAAAATCTATTTTTCCAGCTTATAACTTATAATCATTTCAAAATTAATAAATTAGTTTTGAGCGACGAACCCAAAAATTGTGGCCATAGAAATGAATTCTATGGGCACAAAGTTTCTGGGAGTTTTGTTTTTATATAATGAGTCTAATTCTTTCTTGGCAGGAGGTATAAGTTGAAGGTTTCTTTGGGTAAAGCCGCACATGCCGGTTTCTGTCTCAAATCCTCCAAATTTACAGCCGCTATATCAAATTCTTGGACTATATTGGAGAACATGACGAAACTCATTGTAGTTACTAAGGTTTGACCAATACATGTTCGTTTGCCAATGCTGAATGGAAGGAAATGTGGTATATTCTTCTTAACACATACTACTTCTTTCTCTATTTCTGTAACTCTATTTATAGGACCAGTTCTCTCGCTGTCGGATTCCATGCCAGAATCGCAAAGTGAGTTTCTTCTCGCTCTAATTTTAGTTCTTTCTAAAAATCTAGACGGATCGAACTTGTGCGGCTCATCCCAGTATTTTGTTGACGTGTTTAATTCGTAGTTATTTATAAAAACAATCGTTCCTTTTTCAACTCCATAGCCCGCTATGTTAGCGTTTTCTGTAGCAACGTGAGGTACGATTGGAGATGACGCGTATCTTAGACATTCTAGGATAGTGGCTTCAGTGTAAGGCAAGGATGGTCTATCAGTCAAATTCACAGGTCTTTTTCCTTTCGTGACACTATCAATTTCAGATCTAATCTTCTTCCCGACTTCTGGGTCTCTGGCAATCGCTGCTAGACACAGCATCACAAGATTACCAACAGAAGAATGCCCACCAAGGAAGTCTTCCAGCATAAATATGATAGTATTCCGGTCTACTGTGTGATCATCATGAAGTACACGTAGAAGACCATCCAAGAAGTCTTTTTCCGGACCATCCATATCCAAATTAGTCTCCCTCTGTTCTACAATCCTCGATAAAATGAAAGTCCTAATATCCTGTGACCAGTTAGACAATTTATCCATATGCTTCTTGTAAAACGGCGCCAACCATGGAAGGAAATCGACAGCATAACCTTGATTAATCTCCCAAAATATCTCATCGAAATTATCTACTATTTTACGAAATTCAGGATCATTATCCTCAAATCTAACATTGCACATGTAGTTGGAGAACATGTTCATAGCTGTAGCCATTAAATGTGGCTTCAAATTGATGCTGTGTGAAGAATTCTTCGTCATATTCTTCAGATTTTGCACCAGCTCGACGGCTTCGAAGGTGGCTACTTGACCAATTCTTGAGAAGTTATCTGTGTGTTGTTTTGGACCGCAATGACGACGGGCGAGGTTGCGTCTTCTGAGTTGAAGATTTGACCAGTCGCAGAGAGCCAGGGCTGGTGACAAAAAACAAAATAGATTAACAAATTTTACTAATATCATAGTACAATAGAAACTCGAATAACCGGACTAATTGTTGATAGGCATTCGGATAATCGAATGTATGAAGAAAAGCCTGTTTTGTGCATATGTAGTACATAATAATATATGTTTATTTAGAAAATAAAATACAATATGTATTTGTTAATTTTCAATTGGTAATCATGAATTAAAATAATAAGTTTCATTTGGTATAGAATATTTTACTCTCAACAACACCACTCTCTTATACTTTGACATCTTTTCTTGTCCGGACTTGTCCGTAGTCCGGATAATCACGAATCCGTATAACTGAGGGCCGGATAATCGAGTTTTTACTGTAGCTTATACATATATCTTTCAAATAGTACTTATAATAGTACTATTATACGAAAAGTGTAACTAATTTTAAACTTAATAATAATCGTATATTCCATAATTTTATTAGTTTTTATTTAAAAGATATGTATTAATAAATAAAAACTTTCTAGAAATAATTATATCAGTGCATCAGTGTTTGTACACATAAGTGTATTAATTTTACGCACTTAATTCACAAAGAGAGATGTCAGGCATCAGCCGGTCGTAAAAACAATTAGCCCAAACTATTACATGTAGGCAGACCCTGGCTATAGCTGGTAAGTTGCCAGGTAGAAGGTAAGTGTCCGTACACGTAAGCTACGTTTGAAATACTACAAACTATCAGTATTAAAGTAAATATCAACTCGTACTAAGTTTTTTATGAATTATAATTTGAAAAGCAGTCGCCCGTTACAAGGTAATGGTGCGAAGATATCCGCTCTATTGAATAGGAAAAAGACATACATATATATAAAAACTAAAAAAGCATCATCATCAGCCTATCAGAGCCCACTGCTGAGCCTCTTCTCACATGGAGAAGGTTTGAGCATTAATCACCACGCTCGCTCAAGACGGGTTGGTGATTTCAAACTTATAATTGTGATACTATAAGTTCAGGTTATTTAGACACCACTGACCTACGGTGAAGGAAAACATCGTGAAAAAAGCATAATTATATATATTTGTATTGACATTTCGATGTACATTGATATGTCAAAATGAAATTTATTCTGACATTGCCAGCCTAATTACGATGATTGTTCAAAAAAATCTTTCTTCTTCTTGTCAATTTCCCAGCTTAAGCCAGGGTCAGCCTTACATGTTGTGAATAGTTTTGGCCAATCGTTTTTACGGTCGCCTGCCTGACATCAACCCTTTGGGAATAATATGTTTAAAAAATATTTAAATTTATTATAAAGTAGAATCGACTTTGGAAAAAGTCATGGGATAATTTATAACGAAATAAAACTGAGAATAATTGATAGCTTTCTGATATATTTAGATTTACGTAATCTTTTAAATCGACTATAGTTATAACATATAAAACGCAGTTTTTAATATATATAATAATTATATACTAGCTGACCCGGCAACTGTTGTTTTGACATAAAAAAAATAGGGGTTGGTGATAAAAAAGTAAAAAATTTAATGTTTTTTTAATGAGACATTATAAAAAAATAAAAATAAAAAAATTTGACCGAAAATAAAAAAAAATTAAGGTTAAACAACCCTTATGACTTAGGGTATGAAAAATAGATGTTGGCCAATTCTCAGACATAATCAATATGCTCGCAAAATTTCATCAAAATCGGTCACCCGTTTCGGAGTTCTGTCTAACACCGCGACACGAGAATTTTATATAAGATATATGTTTATCCCAATCCATATATAAATAAAACAATTTTATTTGTATTTTGCAATTTCATTCTATCCCATAAATCCTGTACATACCAAAAGCTATGCTTTATATGTGCATACATAATATATTATTGACGTACGAGCATTACCATGTATAAGGCTGGTATCACAATTGATAAAAACTAAAATTATTATTAAAATTAGATATTTATATATAAAAGACTTTATTTTTAAAGCAATCTTGTATTTTCCTCTAAATATTGACAAAAATTTTTCGAGTATTAATTTTAATGTTATATTTTTCGGATTACTTAGCGTATTTCTTTAAAATTGTGATCATGGTTCAAAATCGAAATGTAAGGATTATGTAGTTTAAAATAATAAAATACGATTAGTATACGAAAATATTAAATTCATTTAAATGAATACTCGTATTAATCTTTATTGTTAGAGAATTATTCGTATGAAATATATAAATATATACGACTTTTCATCTATATTATATATATACTAGCTTTCCGCCCGCAGCTTCGCCCGCGTGGAGTTCGGTTATATAGCGTTTCCAAGAGAACCTCTCAAAAGTCTGGGATAAAAACTATCCTATGTTCTTTCTCAAGGTCAACTCTATCTCTGTACCAAATTTCATTAAAATCAGTTCAATGGTTTAATCGTGAAAGCGTAACAGACAGAATTACTTTCGCATTTATAATATTAGTAGGGATTTAATGTATATCTCAATAGTTGACGAGTATTTAATTTTTTATTTTATTCACGACCTTACCTATATACTATCCTGAATCAGCGATTTATGTATGCCAATATAAAAACATATCACATTACGTATTAATTGCTAATATACTGAAAATATATAAAACTAGTCAAATTATACAACCTCGTTTAAAATACACTAATATTTTCGTATACGCGTATTTTTATATCAAAACTACATACTCCCGACGTTTCGGTTACTTTACCGTGATTATTAAAACGAGATTTGAGTCTGTAAATCATCTTATAATATATATTAGTTTAATTTAAATGAACATTCGCGTAAATCTTAAATCTCATTATACAATCTCATTTAATTTGTTAAAACAAAAGTCAAAATTTTGTTATTTTTTTGACATTTCATAAAACAGATTAAATTTGAAGTTAGATTCGAGGTTTTTGAGTATTTTCGTATGAAATATTTTTGTTTAGATATTTTTATCTCTATGCCATGGCGTCGTATATCTTAATTGCTTGGTTGGCAATGAGGTGTGATATTACAATTGTTTAAGATATATACAAGTGAATTAAATTTTCTGTATTAAATTATTAATATATTAAATCAAAAATATCAAAGGTTTTTAAGATTTAGAGCCTATTTTATGTTTGTAATATTTTAAATAAATGCTTTTAAAGAAAATATCTTCTTCTGATTGAGAAACATACAATGAATATAGAATATAATCCTTAAAAATTTCAAAACTAAATAAAAATGTTATTATTATTAAATAAATTACGCACAGACATAATTTTTAGTAGATATAGTGCGTGTAATTATAAAATAATTATTTGACGCATCGAGTTACATACTACCTCGTGTAATTGGCGATGTCTGGCAATGTTGGCGCCAATATTGGCTAAAAATTAACATCGAAATAATATTTAATAATATTTTTTTCTAATATTTGGCCAATCATTGGCGTTTGGTTAACTTAGAACTTAGAATTTTGGCTTCAAAATTAACATACATACTCGTACGACGTAATGAATAAATGAAGATATTATTTAGTAATGTTCGGCCAACCATTGGCGTTTGGTTAACTTAGTTTAATTACCACGTTTATTGCTTATAGGTCAAAGAATAAGGGCAGTTTGGGTGCGTACGTTGTATCTTAAGGACGTGTTGGCTACAATATTAATGTGAGTATTAAACTTACAATTATTCCTGTCGCCAGCGAATAGTTTGTGGAAGCGTAAAAAATCTGGTCGTCCTCCAAAGAATTTTCCATTCTGATTAAGAACCTCCCGTATTAAATCCAAGTTGTTGACAACCAAGCATTCTGACGAACCAAGCTTAATGCTGTATATATCGCCGTAATCTTTGCTAAGCTGGGTGAAAGCTTGGAATGGTGATTCGTGTTTCCCAAGGAGATGCAAGCTTCCTACTATCGGTAAAGCTACAGGTCCGGGAGCTTGCTTTAAATCTTCCACCTTCTCCTCCCCGTATTTGGTAGCCCGTCTCCATTTGATGGTTTTTCGTGTGAATAATTTATATATGATAGCGCAAAACGCTAGAATCAACAGCGCACTCATTTCTAAAAAGAAATTTTCGAGTGACTTTGATTGGCTGGAGCCTCGGGCCGGCACTGCGTCATGTTTTACACGGACGCCATATTTATAGTCAGATATTAGCATTTTCATGAAATGTATTCGTTACGTGTTAAAACATGGATCTTATTCCGATGATATAAGGGATTTTAGAGATATATTATATTAAAATAAAATTTAAATAGTAATAAAATAAATAGTGTCAAACGATTTCTAATTAGAGGTTATGAATGCGTTCAAAATTGACACAAAAAAAATTGCATAGTTTCAGTTTAAAAGTAATGAACTTAAAAACTATTTTTTGCAAACATTCTTTATAAATATGTTATAAATATTTAAAAAATAAAACTAATAGTCATGTAAAAATGTGTGAATAAAATAATTATATATTTTTAAAAGTAATTAACTTGACATTGATAAAATGAATCGTGTTGGGGTGTAATATTCTAGTAATTAATATAAAATATTATTTTATTTCCATTCCCATCGTATAATACTGAAATTTCTCATCACAAAACTTTAAGAACGTTATTCTAAGTTCATTTTTAATATAATTATTTTTTCATAATAATAAATATCTTAATTTTATTCTATCATATATTAATAATTAAATAACCAAAGCGGTACATTCAAAATCATTATAATTTACTTCCCTCGACACAAGCTGTGGTGATTTAAATAAAAAAGTACATAACTGTCATTTAATTTAAATTTCCCCGCTAAGTCCCTGACGTCACTAAGCCAAGGCACGTGTGAAATGGAATATAAAAATTGTTGTATTAAAATTTTAAATCATCTCCTTTTGACGTATATATTTCGGGCATTATGTAATTTATTTTTTCTTATTTCATGTTTAGTTGTTTTGTTTTTTTATTTAGTATCAATTCGAAAAAGGTCGAATATATTTTATAGATTTTTTTTCGCGGCAATCCGCGGAGCTTTTTGTTTGAAAAAAGAACACGTGTAAGATTAACCTATCAACCCCTCGATACAAACATCTTGCGTCTCGCTCGCTCTTATACCGAGCACGATATCTTCCGTCCCGCTCTAACCTTACCTAGATTAAAAGTAGCACAGATTGAATAATTCAGAACCTATTTCGGAGAAAGATACGGGGAAAAAAACGTAATTTTTCACTTGGAACCAACCGTATTATTGTGATTTAATAAATATGTATATATGTAAAATAAAAGCTTTATATTAATTCAGAGAATTTAAGAGATTCAGACGCCATTTTGACATTGGCATTAGAGATGACAGATGAAATTGGATTTTAATTTAAAAAAAAATACTGTCAGCTGTCAAAAAGGAATTAAAATATAATTTTATTCAGCCGATTTTTTATATAAATACATATATATGTATATATATGTACATTATTTCAAACAACAGTTTGATCCTTGATCTATTTTGGTTTTAAAACATGACCGAGCTCACGTAGTTTAAATTAATTATTGTTTTTTTATGTATCTGTGCTTTTGTATATGTGTATGTGTATGTATGTATATGCGTATAAAAAATACCTCTAAATTATAACTAGATGGAATAAATTAAGATAAATAAAATTAATATTTATTTACATAAAAATAAATTTACATTCCAACTTAAGCTGGCTCGTGAAGGTAATATTTTGATTTCTATTCAAAATTAATTTAGATACAATTCTATTTTAGGTATTCTAATATGTATTGCTTCTATCAAGTATATATATATATATATATATACATATATATATGAGGATAAAACATAACTCTCCTCTACTTAGTAGTTTAACGGCAGGTGTATATTTTACCTATATTTCTAGGAATCTCTATTTTGGCCTACATTTTGTCAACCCAGATAGCTTTATATTTATGAAGTTACATATAAGAAGAAATTTTATTTACAAAAATATGACATCAGATTTTGATAGAACTGTTATTAAAATATAGTCTAGAAATATATATATCTTCTTCTTCTACCTGGCAATTTCTCAGTTACAGCCAGGGTCTGCCTTACATGTAATAGTTTTGGCTAATTGTTTTTACGACTGGCTGCCTGCCTGACATCAACCCTCTTTGGGAATGCATTAATCAGTGATGTCTAAATACTGTTATAAGTACATATGACTCGGAAAAATATATTTATAAACTAGTAGTTAATATTAACAATATATCATAAAAGTAAGTTGTGCATTTTTTTTTGGGTAATTTTCTTTAAAACAATAAAATGATTGTCTAAAGTCCGAACAATGCGAATTGTTGATTATAAATAGTGCGTTAAAAATAATATTATTAACACTAAATATATTATTTTAAATATTTTAGTATATAAAATAACTTATTTTATAATTATTAAACATTATTTATCAATATTTTCGTAAACTGAGTGCGTTTAAAAGAATATTTAAAAAGTGTTTTGTAGCTTTACAGTAACTGAAATTTAAAATTAATTAAATAGTATAATTTTTAATATGGTTATACAATAATTCATTCTTGGAAAGTGCTCCAAAGACAGCCCTAGTAGGTTCTTTTTAAATTAAGTAGAGAAGGGAGCTTGTACGGTGGAGGTGATCGTTTAACGTTAGATAGGGTCCCTTAAACCTACACCTGGGTCACAAGTCACAGTCACTGTTGAAGCTCCTCTCACTACAACGATGGACCCGACACACGCACCGTGAATACATTGAATGATGAGAGGTTTCGTCTCTCTATATATATTAAACCTACACCTGGGTCACAAGTCCCAGTCACTGTTGAAGCTCCTCTCACTACAACGATGGACCCGACACACGCACCGTGAATACATTAAATGATGAGAAGATTCGTCTCTGTGTGTTATAAAATGAAAACCAAGGACTAAATATAAAATGTAAACTAATATTATTATTAAATAATTACCTTATAAAGTTATAGTTAGGGAAAAAAGAAAACCTAACAAAAATTAACTCAGTTAAATAAAACCAAAGATTTTTTGAACTCATATTAGTACTTAATGTCTCACCTCACTCAAGATACTTGTTATATCAAAGAAATAATATAATTTATCTCAGATTTTCATTAAAAAATTATATACTTAATGAGATCTAAGAATTTGCGAATATTCATTTAAATGAAACTAATATTTTTCGTATATACTACGCGTGATTTATTTTTGTAAAAATACATACTCAAACATCTCGTCTTAATGATCACGGTTGCTGACAAGTAACCAAAACGTCTGGAGTATATAGGTTTTTACAAAAAACCGCGTACAATCTTCTTCTACCTGGCAAGTTCCCGGATATAGCCAGGGTCTGCCTTACGTGTTGTTAATAGTTTTGGTTATTTGTTTTTACGACCGGCCGCCTGCCTGACATCAACCCTCTTTGGGAATGCATTAATCAGTGATGTCTAAATATTCTTAGAAAGTACATATGACTCGGAAAAATCACATTGGTACTAGCCCGGGCCAGGATCGTACCCGTGCTTTCGGCAACGAGAGGCGGGCCCTTTAACCACTAGGCCACCACTGACCGCGTAGTATGTCCGAAAAATATTAGTTTCATTTACATGAAAAAATTACGTGTGTACATTTGATAGCAGCGTAATTTCTAGAACCCGCGAGGCGACGAAAAACGTGATTGTGGGTCACGCACTCATCCTAATTCATTTGTTTTGCTTTAACGCTTACCACAAGTTCTATCGTCACTACATACGACGCGTTTTACGTTTCTGATACAATAATAGGTTTTTAATGTGAGAAAAACAAATATTACTTTCTTACAAAGATAAAGGGACATATACATATATTAAAATGTGTGGTAAAAATATTATTTTTAGTAGGTATATATTAGCAATAATTTAATCTTAAAAAAATTAAATATGAGAGTGAAGTTTGGTGCAATTATAATTATTAAAACTTGTTATTTTTATTAATAAATACATATTTTATATATATATGTATATTTTTGTATATAAATCATTTTATTTTCAATATTTTTTGTTAGCCATGTATGTAAACAGTCATATTGATGTTTTACACCGGAAGAAATGGGAATCTTATTCTGACCTCTTTTGACCCAATTTATTCAGATAAACTAGGGTTGTGGCTAACAGAATCATCGATATATTTACGATAAAATAATATATAAATATACAGGGTGACTGGTGAATTACTATCGATATTTGAGGACGTGATATTTGACGATCATATATGACAAAATAAAAATTAATATAACATAAATATTAATAAACTTCTAAGAAAAGTTAACCAAAAGTAATGTAATTAATTACGCATCGTGTGAACACCCTACAGATTAGGTATACACACACACATACACACGCGTCAGATGGCGTAGTGTTGTATCAGCACGCCGCCGCACGCGTCCACACTTGGAACACTTGGAACGTGTCCACACTTTATTTATTTATACGGAAATTTGGTAAAAAATTAAGTGCCTATTTTTTTTACATAATTCTAATGAGAATCATGTACCGAGTATTCTCCTTAAATATTGATAGTAATTCACCAGTCACCCTGTATAATATAATTGCCAGCCCTTGTTGTACGCGGAAACGTTGAAAAAATATGCAAAATTTGTGTGACCTTACTGAGACAGACGAGTGAAAAAAATTATTATGTATCCCGAGTTTTGTTACAAAAAATCCGTCGCCCGCCATTTCGTGCTTGGGAACGAACGCCACTGATAAATTTTTGAATACCAAATATTTTGTTAGTTATTTTTATTCAAATATGTACATATGTATATATATATTTCATGATTTTGAATATATTTTTTTGTGTTACATATTTTGTTTTTATTTATATATATTATATATTTCCATGTCTTTGTCATATTGGAACTAGCTTTCCGCTCGCAGCTTCGCCCGCGTGGTGTTCGATTATATCGCGTTTCCAAGAGAACCTTTCAAAAGTCTGGTATAAAAACTATCCTATGTTCCTTCTCAAGGTCAACTCTATCTCTGTACCAAATTTCATTAAAATCAGTTCAGTGGTTTAGGCGTGAAAGCGTAACAGACAGACAGACAGAGTTACTTTCGCATTTATAATACTAGTAGGGATAATTAAAAAGAGGTTAATATTTGCAACTAATATTAGTGCCAGTAATTAAT